AATACAGAACAAAACTGCATGCTGCCCTAACTGTGCAGCTGAAGCACTTGTTAAGACTCACAGTGTGGGTGTGATTGTATTTTCCACCTCTGAATGAAATGTTTTGATGTTTTGTCTTTAGCCATGCTGTTTTCAAAAGGGTGTGTTTTAAAACCAGGGTCCATGGAAATGTTTTTCAGAACAGAATTTCAATTTACAAACAAATTCTAGCACATATGAGAGTAAAGAAGACTTCATAAAGCCAGTTCAGCATGAACAAACAGGAGTCCAGATCTGTTCCCTGTCTTGAATGAACAGTGGATTGGGCCTGACAGCTGGAATACTGGAGATGACAATATCAGCCTGAGCTGTTCCTCCCATAGGCAAGGAAGGCGATGCAGATCCTACAGATCGATATAGTCCACTACACAGCTGAAATGGAAAATGGCTTTAGCTATCAGATCAGGCTGCTGCCTTTTGCCTATGGTTTCAGCCCATTAACTGAGGAAGGGATGCACCTAAAACAGGTGTCACCAGACCTTTCAACTTTGAATGGCTGATCAGCTGCCAGTTGGCTATTTACAATAAGAGATAAAACAAGGTTTCTGACAGCCAAACTTCCTCTGCTCTCTCTTCCTCCTCCCACAGCTGAGCAGGCTCTGATCTGAAAATGCTCCTGCGCCAGTGACCAGACAGCATTACCCCCGTGAAGCACAGACCTGACCCAGTTTGACTCAATGTTCAATTTTGAATGGCACACAGCCAAGTTGCTACCAGTTGGATTATTCATGCTGCAATAGGAAGCAATCTTTCTGACATGCAAACTTCCTTCTTCTGCTGCCTGAGCAGCAGTGCAGGCAGTCAAAGATGCTGAGTTAGATAAAGAGCAGTTTGACTGCAAAGATACAAGTCTTGACTCATGGCTCCACTTCAGCTTCATTGTGCTACCCAGTAGCAAAAACCACCAGTACCCACGGCAGATCCTGGGAAGACAAAGCAGTTATACTTGCAAATAGAGAATTTCCGTTACAGATCCTATAACAGCACTCATTTTAAGTTCACGTGAAAGAGATTTGGAAATCTCTGATAAATAGATCGGGCAATCCAATCTCAATTAGAATTCAGGATGCCAGTGCCAAATTTGTTTAGATTCACCTTGCTTCAATAACCTATTACAACGGGCTTCACAATCAGAGCATCAAACTGGTTATGTGAGGTCACTTCTTCCTCTTGCTTTCCCTCCCCTTGGAAATTCTTCGTCCTACAAAAGAAAAAAATATGGCTGCACCAGCCTGCAATAGACTTCACTAATCTCATCACCTGAACTGCTGAGCAACACAGTGTCTGGAGAACAGGAAGATAGAAGAATTAGTCGTGCTATCTAAAAACAAGGCACCAATATAAATCACACGTTTCACAAGGGCTACATCAGGCTCTTAGATTTTACTTATGTGAAGGGGAAAGGAGAGGGTTGGTGTATAACAAGGAAAGAAATGGAAAGTCTTTATTTTAGTTCCTAATTCAAACAGAAATGCTCTGTGATGGCTCACACTATCACACACTTCCATTAATTTTACTCTCCCTCCTTGCTTGTCATGCCGTTGTATCATGAGTGTATCTGTGGGACTGTTTTACTTTCCAGTCCTGGAAGAAGGGTGGCAGGTAGTAGGGATCTGCCTTACAGTTCATATGAGTAACTGGAAATCAAAGTCTGTGATAAGACTTAGTAGAAGTGCTCAAGGAAACCGAAAGCCCTGAAACTAGGTTGTAATTCATGGAGTATAGAGTTCTTCGATAAGTGAGACAGATAAGAAATTTACAGCAGGAATAATTCAAGAGCACTAGCCCTTAGACAATAACTTATCCCCCAGCTTTTTTCATAACTGTGACTGTGGTATTTTTATGTCAGGTTCCGGTGAGCTTCTTTCACCTCTGGCAGATCTCCATTAATTTCCCAAAGGCTGAGAGGTAAGCTTGGACAAGCCACTCTCTCTCAAAGCTCCCATGTCTCAGAGGAATATGCTGTTTCACAGTGATTGAAAACAGCCCAGGTCACAGAGGCCAGCACCCAGGGAACTTCCCCTAGAAGTGAAGTCTTTGTGCTAACCACATCTTACGGTAGGGGTGGTCCACGTCACCACTGAGTGGACAGGGAGAGAACAACGCAGTGACTTCTGCTAATTTCAACAGTGTGTAGTATGCAAGGAGAAAAAGCTAGTAGCGTTTAGATTCCTGATCTTTTTTTTTTCTGACAAAGATCTATAGTTGCTTAAACCTGTGCAAAAGCTGAGGAGTAAAGTTAATGAAGGCAGCAGATTTTAGAAAAACTGTGGCTATGGTTGGAATAACAAGTACCCTAGCATATAATTCTGCATTCAGGCAGGGCTTCTGATGTAAAACAAATTACTTCTGGAGTGCTGAGGGTCTGCGGGTGTGTTGCTCTCTATTTACAAAGAACATACGCAGAATTCTGTCTCCTTGAATACAGTAGAGACAAACAACAGGAGGCAGTTTCTTTGTTCTGTAAATCAAGCCAGTTTTATGCCAGCATTCTGTCCAAAATTAGTCCTTTCTCTCCCTCTTTGGATTTCTTCCAGGCTTATTCTACTAGCTCTTCCTTGGCTGGCCATGGCTGGTTTTGATTGCAGTTTTGTTAGGTTCGCTTCTCACTTGCACATATGCACCTTTGCAACTGAATCAGAATCCATCATCAGTATTTGCAGAATGTCACAGAGAAAGCTTTTTGAGTGGCACTGCCCAGGTTTTCCTTAGAACCTTCCTGGTCTGTATTTGGGTAGGAGTTTCTACTGTTTCATTTGTTGACAAATGAAAGGATACTGAATTATTTTATAAGTGACCTTCTGTGATACTAGCAGCCAGTCAGTCCGCCATACTGACAGCTGAGACCACCGATATATCAGCTATGAGCCCTGGCAGCATCCTCCAGCCTAACAAATAGTTGTGCTTATTGTAAGAAAACAAGTTAGTGCACAAAGGAGTTCAGCCAGCAGGTTGCATGATCGAAACTGGGAGGATGGGTCTGAATTAACTGAAGATGTGCATTTAGAGAAACATTCATACAGCTTCAGATTGTTATGTAGAAAGGTATCTTGATTCTGACTTAATAAAATTCCCTTTGAATTTGAGTTAAGCTACATGAGGCCTTACTCTGAAAAACAGTATACAAAACAGGAATTAAATGCAGGTTCTCTAATCCATTTTAAAATTAGTTTCATTTCAAAACCTTGAGGGTCACCTTGTGCGTCAAAAAGCACAACCGTTACCTCCCTGGCTCCTTTCATGACACCCATGAAAATGAAATATGTCTGGTCAGTGTAATATTAATATATGCTGACATGCTTGAAGCAATATGTAACATGCACTCAGCACTGTTCTGAAAAATAACTCTTCTTGATGATACACAGAACAGAGAAGTATAACAATGCAATTTCTCCGCCAAATTTGCTCGCAGCAGCAGAGTTGATGGAGATGACTTATTAACATGGCAATTTAGTAAATGCTCTGTTGTCTGGGAGGGCGACATGTCCCTGGCTGGTTCATTTAATTCATCAATGGAAAAATGATGTAAGCAAGCCACTGGCTTGTCCATGAATTTTAGAAATCCAGCCTAATGGGAATGGCAGTTTGATTTGAAGGAAAATGAATATTTGTGGAAATACAAATCTTGGGAATCCTGATCCCGGAAAAAAAAAAAATCCAAATTTATAAACTTCTGAGTTTTCTGAAATGACATCAATAATGACAAGAGGTTTTTACACTTATTTGCGTCATGGATGGTTCCACTGTCATATTTTCATATTATTTTTAATCCAAGAGTGCCAAATTCTGTTTTCACTCTAAAAATGAAGGATTGGTAGCAGTAAAGTAACAAGTTCTGTTTGATTTACTGAACATTGCCTTAGAAAAATTCTTTCTGCACTCAAGATTGTGGGATTCCCCTTTATGACTGTAATTGTCTAAGCCTCTAAATGTACTCTTCCTGTCCTTCTGTATTACCATTCATAGACCTCACAACAAACAAATACACTTACATCTCCCTCTGCCAGCTGTGCAAATTGAATGGCTTCCTAATGAGCAGTCATCTTACCTGGATAAAGGTAAATAGCAGAAACACACGTTTATCTCCCCAAAATGTTTGAATATAAAGAAAAATCTAATTCATATTTTACTCTAGAAAAAAAAGGAGAGCTGGAGGGAGCTAGAAATGCAAGCTAACTCATGCTGGGAATAAATAATAAAAACAATCTATGTTATTTATATAATACCATCTGAAAACATAAAATAATCTACTTTTTTTTTCAGAATAGATTACAAAAGAATCTCTGAATATTTTCTGAAGTAAAACCCTTTCTGAGGACAAAAATTGTAGTTGAAATCAATATAGCTTGGTGGGAGAGAAATAAGTTGATGTGAAACTTCTTTCTCTGACACATTACTTAGTAAGTTTCTCAGCCATAGTCACTCCTGGCCTTATAAAAACTTCAGCTGTTCTCTACAGCTTGAAAACTCAAATGGTTGTTCTATGTGTTGTGCTGTGTTCCTTTGACTTTTCCCCTTCCTTTAAAATGTAAACCCATGACAGATCTCTCTATTTGTTTATCTTTTACAGCACAGAGCTGTGCACATTTCTTGTTCTATACAGATGATTAATAATGTCACGACTCTTTAGCCACTGACTAGTAAGTAACGCTTTGCTTCTTACCCCCTGCTTCATAATTTGAAGTCTCCCACCCCCATGCATGACACACAGGACTGTCATTCTCTTTCACTGTCATTTCCTTCTATTTTATCTAAGTGTTTCAGAGTTTTCCCCAGGAAATTCTTTTCTATTCATTTTTAGTGTTTTCAGGGAGCAAACAAGATGAAAGCTTAATGAAAAAAATGTTGTCTTTCTTGACATTACTGTAAATATAGCTGATGTTTCCCTTTTTGTAGCTATGTAGGATGCAATCTGAAAACATATTAAGGCAAATAGCAGATAGTGAAGCCTTCGTTTTACAGCACAGCAGACACTTTATTGAAAATGGGTACCTCTCTAAGTCAGCCAGAATGCAAGGCAAAGTCAGAGCAACAGGTTGAGAGACTTCAGTGGGTATTTAAAACCTAACTGCTCCTTTCCACAGAAAGATGTCTTAATTAACTATTTATTCACTCTTTTTAGTGGCTTTAAACACATTAATATAACCTAACAGCCTTCTTACATAGAAAATGGGAAATAACTCATTTGAAGTCAGGTTGTTCTAATGTCTTCTATCCTGGCAAAGCAGGTAAGAACATTTTTCTTTTCTTTGGCTACTTCTCTGCTATAAGCACCATACAGAAGATGAAATGTCTCTTCATATATTTTACCGGCAGCTACAGTCACTGTGCAGACAACTTGCTGAACATTGTCTTCCAGAATGTCCACCTGATAATCTGATTGAGTAGTATGGTAAGTAAAAAAAAGCCCTGTAGTTCTCAGTAGTTTCTCTATCTTTAGTTAAGTCTTTTTTCTTAAAATATAGTAATTGTTCTAACAGGTAGGAAAACTTGACAAAGAAGAATTCCATGTTACTATGGAAATTGCAACTTGGCACACTGACAAAAGAAAATAGATTTATTGCATTAATAATTTTAGCAGCTGAAGAGGGCATGATGTTTATAGAGAATCATTGAATGACTGAAGTTGGAAGGGCTATCTAAACTGCATTTCAAAATGGGTCAAATTGCTCAGAGCATTTACCAGTTGAATTCTGAGTATTTCCCAAGGATGGAGACTCCAGTATCTCTCTGAGCAACCTATTCCAGAGTTTGACCACCAGGTGAAAATTGTTTCTTATTCCTATGTTCCAGTTTGTGCCTGCTGCCTCCTGTACAATCGCAGCGCACATCCAAGAAGAGTCTAGCTCTGTCTTCTCTATATATTCCCAATGATACAGTCTTAGTAGTACAAAGATATTCACTGCAAAGATAATTTCCAGTCACTCCATTACATTGCATTAGTTTATTCCACGCCAAGACTTTGAACTTGTTATTCTTCATGAGATTCCAGTCATCTCATTTCTCCAGCAATTTGACAATTTCTGGCACGTGTCAGCATGTCCTCTATCAGCCACTATGTCAGCCTGATATCTTTGGGCTTGCTGAGGCTGAACTTCCTTTCATCCAGGTCACTGACAAAGATGTTTAGCAGTGTGGGTTTTAGTATCTGCCCACAAGGGATACAAATAACCAGCCAACAGCTGGGCTGTACACCTTTGACCACACAACACCTGGTTAGAGACAGTGGCCTCTTAGCTCCTAAGCACTTACACAGATCCACTGATTTTTGCCTGTTTCTTTTCATACAGTAATTTTGACCCTGCTGTTATAATTTAGTTAATGATTTTCTGTTGCCATTTGGTCTGGTACTGTTTGATGACCTGAAGGTCATGTCAAAGGAGTGAAGGAAGGAATAGGAGCCCACGTAGAAAAAACAACATGATTTTATGGCTCTTGGTACGCACTACATCAAATTTCTGTTTGACACAGATTTTTTTTACACAGAATGCTGTTTCCTCCTACTGACCAGGATTCCTACCTTGATGAAGATTCTGGGAAGGTAACATATATTCTCATGGTTATATATTGTGCTTGTATAGCCAAAATGTATGATAGAAGATGTAGTTCAGTCATCTTTGCAAAGGTACCATTCAGAAAAAAAAAATCATTAATATTAATTGCAATGTGATCAACTTCAGCCACAAAGAAAACCTTTACTGATTTTGAGGAATTCTTTTTTTTCCTTCATGATAAACTAAAAATCTGTCAGGAAAAAAAATACCAAAAACTTAGTTTTCTCCTGAAGAGCAGTTTAGAAAATATGTCTAATCAAGGAAGGTGTGGTTTGTCACTGGAATTGGCTGAAAATTAAGTGCTGTCATTCAAAAGTAAAGACAGGACTTAATGGCACAATTATATTCACTTTGTAAAATCCCCAAAGTCACTCTAATAATAAAAAGCTTGCCTGTAAGCTTCTATTCAAACATATGTTAAAATTATTCAAATGAATATTTCAAATATGTATTTGGGTATTGAATACCCAAGCTACACACACAACACCTCCATCTTGGTAGCACAGTTTATTAGATGTAGGATAGTGTGGATTGTCTGTTTTTTTTTCCTTAAAATATTTCTATAATTAAGGATAACCACACTCATTTACAAATGTTAAAATAATCATATGGTGTTAGGGGAGCAAAATAAAAGAGTTGCCCTATATCTCCCATTCTTCAGACCTCAGTTCTGTTTTCCCTGTCCTCAGCATCCATGTGACCTCATAAATACTTAACATGCTTTAACAAATCTCCATTACTTTATTTCTCAGGATATTGCAACTACTTCCTTGTACCTTGCAGTAAAAGTGTTAGAATAGTAGCTCATGTATCATTATCCTTGCATGACATCAGTTCTTGCAAATATCTTTCTAGCAGATACGTTAGTGGTTTCCAATTGAATTTGTGTAAATATTTTGTGCTATTAAACTAGAACTCACCTAATTTTGCACCTGTCCCTTCCTCAGTTTAAACAATCCACACATATTTCTCCTTCCTGCTATTGTTCTCCCATATAGGAAAAGTAAAGGAGCTCCAGAGTGTGCAAACTTTAAAGGAAATTATATTAATATATATTATAAAGGCACATACATAAATAATGAGCTAGCAAGTGCCTGGGTTGAGTTTGCAATGGAGAAAATCAATCCCATCAATCCATCCCATCAAAAGTATTTTCTCCCTCCCCCCTAATTTACAGGTATCTACTTCTTTTTTTTTTTTTTTTTTTTTTTCTTTTTTTTTTTTGCACCTATAGTGTACATGCAGATCCCATTTCACTCAGTAGCCTAATAGCAATGGGGTTATTTATTTTCTTGGCAAATGAACTATACATAGGTTGCTCAGAAAGTAATGCCTTCTTTTTATTCCATGGAAACTATGACAGCTATAAAGAGTACAATAACACTATTGATAGAGCAAATTTTCAGCTACAAGATGCTGTTTTTCAACAGAGTCACCATAATTAGTTATGCATTTCTGCCAGCCATGAGCAACAGTGTGCATGCTGTACACTTGAAGATCTGCATGGCTGTCCAGAGCACGGCTTGTCTTTCACATTGCTGTCATCACTGCTGAAACACAACACCTACCACATGACTGTGCTCACATCCTCTGGTTTGTCTTGAGATCAATAAAAATTTATTGTGTTTATAGCACACAATTCCAGGGTGTCAAGCATATGCACAAAGAAGGGTCAGGCTTAGTCAAAAACAGCAGTCTTACTTTTCACCTTGCCTCACTTGAATGTTATCCCTTCCTGCTTAGCACCGCTACACTGTACCACATAACTCAGTTCTTAAAGAAGAAATCATTAGATCTGTATGTCCCTGAATTCCATCCCACCTTGTTGTCATTTTAGTGCTCAGCAATTGTATGATTGAAGTAGAGTACATGTGGATGAACAGTGGATCTAGGGTAAGCATCATTGGCCCTGGAAAAGTTTTGAAGTGTTTTGTAGCTCACAGACAGCTTAAGACAAGATTTATTCATCTTGCTCACAATATACAGGAAAAATATGAGTAGAAAGTGGATGGAATGGTAAAGTTGCTATGCAGCTACCACCCTTCATGGTTGAGCATCTGGAATATAATGGAAAAAGCTTTTCTGACCACAATATTAGATCTCAAAGAAAAGACTGATTGAACTTTCATAATTATAATGACATATGAAAGTCCATGTTTAGATGGTGCAGATACAAGGTGCAAAAACAGATAACTGAATTTCTGGTTTAGCATTTAAAAGTTAAATATCAGCTGCATTCCACTAATATGCTCTGAAGCAGTATGTGGGCATTTTTCATATATTTCAGGAGTTTTCTCTAAATATAGTAATGTTTAGATATTACTACACTTCTAGCGACTCAGAGTAAGTGATATGAATCTTGGAAAAGTACTGGGTGTCTGTGTAGTGCAATAAAAAACGTATTTAGAATAGACAAGTCCATCATGAGCGTGATGGGATGTTTAGTTTTGATTTAGTGATTTGGTGATACACAATCTGTAAGTCAAGAGCAGAAAATGTCTTTGACCACAGTGTTCTTCTCATTGTTCTTTTATGTGCAGATGTGGATGGATGAAGGTCATCAAAGTCTCTAGAGCTTCTTTAAAACCATACATAAATAACTTCAGCGTTATTCTTTATTTCTATTACTCTTTGAAACTGTTCCAAAGATGCAATCACTTTCACATAAGTATAGTTTGTGAAGCTCTTGAGAGTTAGTATCTCATACAGAAAATGATAGAGGACATATTCTTTATTGTACCACTGTCATGATAAGAAAAATTTTAATTCTGTGAAGAAAACCTTTTACACAACCAGGTGTTTCCTGAATGTTATCTCTTTTGATAGCTGAAAATAAGGGTATAATCAACTAAAATTGCAAACATTGTAGTGTAAAAAGCAGTGCATCATCTAATTACTTGGAAGGTCAATGTAGCCAGTAAATGCTTGCTCTATATAAAAAATACCACTAAGCATAGTGCAGAATTCAGAAAGAATGAAATTTGAATAAAAAATCATATGTGCTTGCAAGGAATCTCTGTGAAAACTTGTATCATATATATATCAAACACAAAACAGGACTATGTTGAAAATATGGGCAAGTAGTTGGACTTAGGCAACGATTCTTACTAAGTCATTGAAGAAACTGCAGCTATCTTCCCAATGCATCAGAAGCATTAACTATATACTTCTTCACATGTTCATCATGGAAGGAATTTTTTCTTTGTTTATGTGTCATACATTATTACTGTAAAATCAGCGAGTATTAAAGTAACTTGCTAAGTAGAATACAGTATTCTAGCAATATATAGAATTATTGTTTTGATATTTTTTTTTTTAGAATAACCAGAAAAACTCACACTTGCTCTCGAGATCCCCAGGTGCACATCTCTTCTGTACACCTAGAGTTTGCTTGAACTTTTGGCTCTATATTTGACACATGGAAACTAGAGATACTGTTTTTTCTATGCTTCAACACTTCTCACATTATCTTGCATTCCTTTGCTGCTGGCTGTAGCTGTTTCAGTGTGATCTTAAACCAGGTCTGATTCCAGCAGTAAATGCTTTGTAATATTGTGAGCCAATCTCTTATTATTTCATCTCTCATGCTTCAAAGTGCACATGTGAATATCTGGTCCCATGAAACAGCAAAACACTGTTCTGGGTATTTGCCCATTATCTCTGTGCATGCTGCTAAAATGTGCAGCATACAACTACAACATACAGCTTACGCACACAAGTAGTTTTTCTATGCCAGAAGTGCAGTATCACATTTATCATTAGCAGGATTAGCAGGAGGAAGTACACAAAACACCAGCTGGCTTTCAATGGGGTATGAAAGGAACATTTTCTTTCCTCACAAAGCCCTTTGGCCCTACTTACAAGTTGATAGTTTTTGAGTATTTGAATCCATCAATAGAAATTCACAATTCCATTCAAGCTTCACAAACACAGCATAGGTGGATCCAGATTCAGCAAAACATTTTTGCAACCATTTTGCTGATAAATTATGATTTTAGAGCTTGAACAGCTGTCGTAAAGAAGGGCTGCAGATACAGGCAGCAGCAGTGATGAGGCATACAAAGAATGATCTGTTTATAACAAAGATATAACAGGGCTTCTGCCTGCCTGAAGGCAAGATACGCGCTACGCTGCCCAGCTCCAACACTGCCCCATCGTAGGAAGAGAAAACAACTTACATGGATAAATGTCGATAAAGGAAAATAGCTTGCTTGCAGATCAGGGAAAATTGAAATAACCTTGCCAATAATGAGATATCCATCATACAAAAAATCTGGGGTTTAGTCCCCAGATGAAAATGAAAATGAATGAAAAAAAACAAAAAACAAAAAACAACATTTCAATGGACAAGGTCAAATTTGGATTTGTGCAATAGATTTCAAATGTACCATGATTTTTTCTATGTTTCTGGATTGAAAATTATTTCATTACTACAAACAGTACTTTCTTGAAATGCCTGACATTTTCAGATGTATACCTTCATTTTTTCCCTTGAGGTCATTTACAGAAACAGGAAGCACTCTCATTATGTTTCTACTCATTGTTTAAACAGCATTCTCTGAGCTGCCCTTTTAACCACATTTATGAAGTCTACAGACTGGATATCTGGTGTTGGAACCTAGAAGAAAATTCTCTAGTAGCAGAAATACAAAGAGCTCAACCAAAACAAAGTGAGATACAGTAATTAATATTAGCAGAATTCTTGCTTCTATATCTTCTTGAGTTTCTAAAGAAGCCTGGGAGTTTCACATATCTCAGTGAAGCCTAACGAGATGCTGTAATATGAAAGTACTTATACTGAAAGACAATCAAAATCCAATACTCTGTGTTTTATGAAATCTGCAGGTTAACTAGCTGGAATTTAAGAACTGTAAATATTTCAAGATTATAAGTTTCATGGTGTGTAAGAAAATTACATGGCCATGTCCATTCCCAATGTCTTCATGCACTTCTATTCCTGGCATGAGGAAGGGCTTTGAAAGTAAAC